AATCAACATTACATTGCATTAGCAACAATATACGTGTATCCTAACCACATTCATACACACAAGTCCAACACAAAATCAACAATGCAATCAATGCTTATGCCATGAATCTACCCCGAACCAATCCCATGATCTTATCCTACACACAAAAGCAATTTCCCAACCAATCCATCTCACTACACAAATCCACACTAAAAGTCTTTAACTCTAAATGACATAAGTTTACCACTTGTCCACCATTTGGAATACTGGCTAACTATCCCTGTTCTGAGACTACCGCTCATCCAATCATTTGGGGCCTAGCTACCGAAATCTCGGAAACAAGACGTTTTCCGTCTATCACAACTATCCTCAACTTGAATATTATTTTTCTCACATTACCTCTTTCACTCACACATTGTCTACCCAATGCATGATCTAGAGATATCTCAATAATTGCTTGCCTTCCAACTTAAAATGACTAGCTCCTAGCTAGCATCTTGAAATGTAATTGCCATTCAACAACATCAAAACTACATTATACTAACATGCTTCAATCCAAAACAAAACTCAACGAATTACTTCAGGAAATCAACTTATCAAACATCAAACATGCTAAAAATCAACAAGGCTCTATCAAAATCATGTTATACACATATTTTATCAATTTCATCATAAGCATTTATAATTTCCTTATTTTAACCATGCTTCCACATAATCATTTTAACATACAAAATTGGCACATTTATATCATATAAGACATGCTAGCAATTTCCTACATAGATGACATGCAAAGCACATCACTAGGGATGGCAACGGGGGCGGGTTTGGGCGGGTGTACCCTCCCCCGCCCCTACAACAGTTTAAAAATCCCTCCCCTGTCCACACCCAAAACCATAAAAATGGGAGAACTTTCCACCCCATCCCCACAACTGTTTAACATTTTTACCCCCGCGGGTACCCGCCCCACCCCGTTTAAGATCATAATTTAATTATTGTTGAAATGGATTTGCTCTTCTTTTTCTTTTTCTTTTTCTTTTTTTCCCTCATCTTCAATTATTCACCATTGCAACTTTCCTTTTAATAAAATTCATTTGTTATTTTAATATTGTTATATAGGGTACTTAATATATAGTGAAAAATATATATACTAATGAAATAAGGGTACGTAAGTAATTTGATTATCTAAACGGGGCGGGGCGGGGCGACCTCCCTATGCCCCCGCACCAAAGTCATGCGGGTTTTTATTGCATCAAACCATTCCCGCCCAAATAAGCAAAATGATCCCCCAAAACCGCCAAAAAAGAGGCTGGGTGAGGCGGGTAACCGCGGGGGCGGGTCAAATTGCCATCCCTATACATGACTAAACATCAAATATATAAAGCAAAAACTTAAATTTTATATAATTGAGCAATTCATTAAAAACATGGTGTAAATAGCATGCCATAACACATAATCGTCACATAAGAACTCATAAAACCCAAGACTCCCTGAATTAGACACCCTTAACTCAAATTAGGATGAGAATTCTAATCCCACCGAAACCAAAGTGCTTCTCTCGTGAAATTGGCTTCGTATGATGAAAGAGGAGGCAAAGGAGATCAAATAATCCTTTTACGACGCCTCCAAAATCCGAACTTCACCTTCACCTTCACCCTCACCCAAAATCTCCAAAGTACTCCAAATCAAAATCCGAAACCAAAGGCACGTAGCTCTCGACATGTTCGTCAAACTTTCCTTCTACGGCGTTGTCAAAATCCTACCTGAACTAGATGAAATCTTTGTTTGAAGCATGTAAAAAATGAAAAAGAAAAGAAAAGGAATAGTGGGAGACAGAGCCGTGACTGTTGTAAATGAGGACCACAAATGTTGTCTTCATAAATAATCATCCCGTGGGTGCCGCCATCCACTTAAATGGTTAAAACAGCTCGTATGAGTCCTGAACACTCGCAAATGACATAACGAAGTGTAAAACGGATAATACCAACGTAAACGAGGAACATAATGATGTTAAGAAATTTTTCGAACATAAAAATTTGCTGTGGGGCCCACCTGGTACCTCCCGGACACAAAAATTGAAACTGATCGAAATGAACCCAAATGTGTTTCTAAGGGTTCTAAACTCGAAGAAACATCATACATAACTCCCGAAAAACCATGGCACGCATCCTCGTGCACAAATAAAAAATACAAAAATGGCCGAAAAGCACCGAAAATCTAGGGCGTCACACCTCTGGTTCTTAAAAATTTTAGGGGTGGTAAATTACAATACGACCTACCAACACGACATGAAATAAGCAGGCTTGGGTTGACCTTAAACGGGTTTGGGACATAAACGAATTAACACGATTAACCCGTTTACTTAATCGTGTCGGGTTAGGGTTGAGGGAGTTTAACCTATGTAACCCGTTTATACTAGCTTAACTCAAATATGAATATGACCAATGTAATATGTTACCTTTTTAAACCTAATTACTATGGACAGTTAAGTCATTTCAACATAAATTTTGACTACACCTTATGTTTTTTCTTCTTATTTTAAATATTTGGATTAATTGTGACAAATTTTTTCTAGTATTTATTATTTGATTGAATATTAAATCTATCATTCTAATAAACAGGTCATTAAATTGGTTAACACGTTTAATAAATAGATTGGCTTAGATTTGAGAATTTCTAACACGATTATTAAATGGATCGTGTTTGAATTTACTAATGGGGTAAGTGCAAAAAACACCACTTTATTTTAAAAATGTGCAAATAACACCCCTGTTGTTCAAACATCATCTCTGTAGTTTCATAATTGTGCAAATAAGGAGTTCTTATTGGAGAGATATGTAAATATACGAAAATGCCCCCCAATATTCTTTATATAATAATAATAATAAATTGTTAGAAGTTGAAATTACCCAAATAGACACAATTCTAAATGGCGTCGTTTTGGGTAATGAAACACTAATAGCATACAAAATTGTAAACGATATCGTTTTGGGTAATTAAACACAAATAGGGCTATACTTCTTCTTCCCAAACACAGCCTCCACGGCCTCACAGTCTCAGATCACAACTAACACAAACTGAGTCAGAAAGATTTCCACATATACCAATTCTGAGGCAAACTGTTAGCATATATTCAACCATCCATCCAAGGCAGTCTTCCAGAACACGATTTGAAGGATTGATTAAGGGCTTTTTCAAAACTGAAACATTTTCTTACGTGGGAATACAATTGAAGAACCCACCTAACTGAATTTAAACAAACAAAAAGTCTTATTCTAATGAAGCAATCTCTCCACCTCCCTATTCACATCCTGCACAAACACATGGTTGTTTCCTCTGCCGCTTCCTCACTTGCTTCTCGCTAGCACGCCGGCGGTGAATATCGAGGCCATCCACCCCGGCGCTGCCGAAAAATTCCCACTTTGCTCATCCACCAAAATCACATCCCAACCCACTTCGTACACATGATTGGGAAGCAGAATATAATCCCCAATTTGTAGTCCGAGAAGAGCCTACACTCCTTCCAAATTTGCTCTCTCGAATGGTAAAGAAGGTTGTATAAATCGCTCACTTTGGTGGTGAATTGAGCATAGTAGGTTTCAATTTTCGGATGTTTCTTGTCAATTTTGCAGACCAAGTATGAGTTTTCGTCAACGAAAACAGTTTGACCGTTTTGATTAAGGAATTTTAAAGGAGGGTTTTGTGGGTCAGGACAAAAATAAGAAGTTACAAGGTGTGGGGCAGCAACAGTGGAGGATGGCGGCTATGGAACTGAGCTCGACAACAGAATTTTGGCGGAGGTGGGGCGAATTGGGTGGGCGTTAGTGGAAGAAGGCGATGCTGCCGGTGGAGATGACGTCGCTGAACAGTTAAATAGAAAGATAAAGAATCTTTAGAGAAGAGAGAGAAAATAAAGAATAAAAATAAGAAAAGAAAAATTTTATTTTATTGAGAGAAGAAAATAAATAAAGAATACAAATATGAAGAAAAAAAAAAGAGAAAATAAAGAATAAAAATAAGAAAAGAAAAATTTTATTTTATTGAGAGAAGAAAATAAATAAAGAATACAAATATGAAAAAAAAAAAAAAAAAGCATTACAGGGAAAGAAAAAATAAATAAAATACATAAATATGAGTATTATATATAGAAATAAAGGATATAATATAAATAAAAGAGAGAAATATAAATATAATGAGTATTATATATGTATAATGTGTATTATATATAGATTATTTAAAGAAAGAAAATTAATTGATACAAATAAGAAGAAAAAACGTAAAGATAGAAAATATATATATATATATATATAGAAATATGATTATTATATATAGAAATGAAGGATATAATATAAATAGGAGAGAGAAATATAAGTATAATGAGTTTTGTATAAATAAAATGTGTATTATATTTAGATTATTTATAGAAAGAAAATTAATTAATACAAATACAAATAACAAAAAAAAAGTAGAGAAAGAAAAAATATATATATATATATATATATATATATATATATAGAAATATGAGTATTATATATAAAAATAAGGGATATAATATAAATAGGAGAGAGAAATATGAATATAATGAGTAATATATATATATAATATGTGTATTATATATAGAGTATTTATAGAAATAAAATTAATTAAATAAGGTTATTATAAATATTATATATAGAAATGAGAGAGAAAATGAGTAAAGGGTAATTTGGTTATTATATATATTATATATTTACAAATTAATTATTTAGAGAAGTGAGAATAATAAAATTTAAAAATTATTTTCATGTATCCAAAAAAACCACCCTGGACTTTTAAAAGTATGCAAAAAACTCCGGTGGGCATTTTGGGTAGCGCAAAATGATAGTTTTAGTATTAAAAGTTGATTTTTGGTCACATGTACGGCACATGTTAATTTTCTTGGTCAGAAGTTCTTATTTATAACTTTTTGTAATTAGAGGAGTCAAATTTAAACAACAAAAATGTTATTTACCCAAGTTTTTAGAATAGAGGGTGTTTTTTTGCACTTACCTCGTAACTAAAATACCATTACATCCACATGACTGAATTATGACCAATAAACACTGAATTGCCATTCCGTAAAAAATTCTCACAAATCTATGTCAAAAACCTACTTAAATCTCATCAAATTTGATCCCTCGTAGAATTCTCAGAAATTCATTACCTCAAAAAGAAAATCCTAGAACTTTGATGAAAGTTTTAATCAAAACCCTATTCAAATTCGATCCAATCAAAGCTATTTCAGACAAACTGATTTTCTATTCACTTCCCTCTGATCATGTTGCGTTTGGGTCGAAATCTCCTGCGGAGAGCTTCACACAGTTTCACTGAACCCCAAATTTCTCGTCGTCTGAAAACCCTAGATTTCCCAAACCACGAACCGGAATGGTTGGTGCGCTACATTACTGGTCCGGCCTCGAGCCCGAGCTTGTCCATATGGAGACGGAAGAAAGAGATGGGCAAAGAGGGTTTGATCGTGGCCAAAGAACTCAAGAGATTGCAGTCCAGTCCGGTCCGGTTCGAGCGGTTCATGAAGTCCCATGTCTCTCGTCTCCTCAAGTCTGACCTCCTCGCCGTCCTTGCCGAGTTCCAGAGACAAGACCTCGTTTTTCTGTGCATGAAGGTTCGTCATTTTCTTGCTTAGTCCCGTTGTTTGGATTCCGAGAAAATGTAGGAAGATGGTATGAAATTAAGAAGTAAAAAAGATCATAAAATGTTGTTTGTTGCCATTTGTTGGAGTGTTCTTTTTGGGTTTTTGGTTACCGACAAAGTATGGGAGAATGAAAGTGAAAAAATATAAAATTGGGGGATTTTATTTATTTATTTTTATTTTTTACCATCCAAACTTGAATCTGCATTTGCTCTGTCCTTTTGTTAATGTAATTCTAATTGTTTCACAGTCGAGAACAAATGCAAAATTAGGTGTTTTTATTTACATCCCAACTTATACGGCAATTTCTTTCATCTAATCCTTATTATCCTACTTATCAAATATATATATATATATATATATATATATATATATATATAATCCTTATTATCTTAGAATGTGGAGCAAATTTGTTGAAGTTCAAATTTGTAACCTCTGGTTGAGATACTGTATGGAACTTGTTGCCAAAATATCAGAAAACTGAGAAAATGCAGTAGAAGAAAAGGAAAGAAAAATGAAGATTTGGGTAAATGAGCTGCTGAATTTTGCCACGCATGATTATCTCATAGCATGGAGTGGATGACACAGAGTGGAGAGAACTTGAGTTACTCTTACTTTTGATTGCTGAAGTATTTGCTAATCTATGTGTGGTTGTTGAGGAAACTGTAGGAAAGTGAGATAAGGGTTATTGGAACTTTAATCGCTGATGTAATTTGTATCCTCTGTTTGGTTGTTGTGAAATTGTTTGGCCTTCTTGTTCAGAGGTGAGCGAGAGTCCGCTTGGTTTCAAATACATGTTTTGCCAAACTATCCTTAACAATGTATTTGGATAAGTAATAAGGAAAGGAAAGAATAGCATTAATTAGGAAGAAAAGAAAGGAAATGAGAGAATAGTATGACTTCTTGTCGTTTTTGGAATCTTTGGATAACTATAGAGGGAAAAAAGAAAAGAAAAGAAAAGCTGTAATCCCCTTTATCATTTTTGGGTAAGATAAAGGATGGGAAAGAAAGGAAATAAGTGTTTATTATGTGAGTGGAGATAGCAAAACGAGATTCTTATCAGTAAAGGAAGAAAGCGAGTGTAACTCCCTCCCTTATCCATTCCTTTCCAGTCCTCCAATTGAAGGATAGCAAGATTACTATCTGAAGGGTTAACATATTCTTCATTCATCCTCCTATTCTTTTCCTTTCTTTTTTTCATTTTAAAATCAAACTTAAGACACTCTCTCCCTCTACCTTTCCTTTTCATTCTTTCCAACAACTCCAATCCAAAGGCATTATAAGAGATTAAGTTTGATTTACTAGTATGAGATGATTGTTAGGAAGCAGGAATGATCCTTCCATTAAGGCTTTTAAACCATACCGACTGATATAAAGGAATAAGAGTACATAAAAGCTGCATAATTTTTTTTTTTTTGATAAGTAAAATGTATATAAAAGCTGCATAAAATTAGCAAGGTTTGTACTATCTACTTGACCAAAGGTACAACTTACAAGCATAATATAATTCTTTATTCTTGAAGTTGAAAATAACAGTTACAATTAAGGTAAAATGAACAGTAAATGGTGTATTTATCCAAAAAAAAAAAAAAAAAAAAGAACTGTAAATGGTGTATAAAATTAAAGGTACATGGAAAACTTCAACTGAAGTGCTGAAGAAAAGGATAAAGATATCTAAAATGACCATGGTAACTGAAGAAAAAATAAAAATAAAAGTTCTTTGTTAGTACTGGTTTTTTTTTTTTTCCGTAAGACATAGCCTCCCTCCCCATCCCTCTCCCCCCCACATTCCCTTTCCCCTTTTCTGGCAACCCCCTTCATTCCATAGTCACAGAGAACAATTGCTACTGCTCCCCGTTTGAGAACTCTTCTACTATACTTTACTTTTAAAAAAAATAAAAACAATTGCTACTGCTTTCTGAATATTCTTAAGATCAAACAACTAAAAACACTTGAGACCACTTGCACAAAATTTGCCTTTGTCTTCTGAATATATAGGTGGCTTTAAACTTGTGTTTGAAAATATCAGCCCAATACCCCATGATACCTGACTGATTCTCTATTTCCACACTTTTTTATTTTGATATTCTGGTTGATTGATATTTTTTTGGGCCAATAGTTGATATATATATATAAATTTAATAGTGAAACAATTTGAAAATTTTAGAGTCGTTTTGTTTTCATTTTTTAATATTAATGTAAACACTTTTAAATTTATCGTTATTTATATGTAATTCTACAGTTATATGAGGTGGTGCGTAAAGAAATATGGTACCGGCCAGACATGTTCTTTTACAGGGATATGCTTATGATGCTTGCTAGGAACCAAAAGGTGGACGAAGCGAAGCGGGTATGGGAGGATCTGAAGAGAGAAGAAGTTCTCTTTGATCAGCATACATTTGGTGACATTATGAGGGCGTTCTTAGATAGTGGATTGCCCGAAGAGGCAATGTACATATATGATGAAATGAGAGGATCTCCTGAACCCCCAATATCTTTGCCTTATCGAGTCATATTAAAAGGGCTCCTTCCATATCCAGAATTGAGGGAGAAGGTGAAGGATGATTTCTTGGAACTTTTCCCAGGTATGATTGTTTATGATCCACCTGAAGACCTGTTTGATGATAAACAATGGAGAACGGAGGATGAAGATAAGTAGATGGTGTTGCTGACTCTGTAATTTGCAAGGGAGGGCAAAGATGATTAGAGCGTGCTGCCAGCTCTCTTTAATTTGCTTATATGGTGGTCATCTTATGAATGTGCTGGCTGTGGCGAAGAGTGGAAAGCACTGGTTTATGCCCAAAGACTGGGAAGAGTTATTGAGCTTGCAGTGGCATGTCTTTTAAAGTTGTACCTAACTCAAGGTGCCGATAATGGAAAAGGATATATAAAGAAGTTCTCTCTTTTTGAGTGCAGTTCAGAGGCTTGTTATGCAGTTTCAAACTTCTTGGCAAGTGTATGTTGCAATAGAAGTCCTAATGTTGGTCTTAGCATTTTCTTGATCACTTTTAATGTTTATATAATATAAAAATAGCTCGGGAAAGGTGACATTTTGGCATGCCTATATTTGTTGGTTATGCTTCATTTGTGTAATGTAACTAGAATGCATGCTTTTTGATACTAAAAGGACAATGTTGACCTTGAGTTTCTACATATAAAATGATTGGATGACGAGCATGTACAACTTTTAGGCCCTAGCTTGTTGCTTATATTTTCCGGAATTGGGTTGTTGCTATTGGGAAAAAGGATATCAGTGAAGTGGACCAGATCTGGGAGCCTTGCACTAGTGTTATGGTTTGAAGACTGACAGAAAGAGGCTAATTGGACCCACACTGTCCACACAGTACATCTTTAAATGGCAATGATTCGAGTTAGGAATTTCGGAAATTTTTCTTTGCAAGGTCAAGTAAACACACACCTTTGGGGAGAAGGGCTTGTACGAGTTGGGCTCTTCTCATTTGGTGAATTTCGGATTCTCTCCCCTCTATTGGAGCTATTGTTGAAGAAAAATAAGAAAGAACCATGGACACGAAAAAAGTAAAATGATCAAAGAGAGAATGTTAAATTGGCAAAATGTCAATGGTAGAATCCGTTTGCTTTTTTGCACATGCCCTAAGGAGATAGGATATTTGTCCATGTTTATACATTCATGCATTTTCTATCATTTTATCTGAATTCACACATTGATTCATAAAATAAAAACCCTGGCCATAATTCATGGATAAGGATATTTTGGTAATTCATGATACAACAATATACCAAGGTTTAAGGCATGAAATTACATTGCAAAAGAGGAAGGTGACACTCAAAACTTTGTCCAGAGGAGAATATTGAAGTTGCATACATAATAAAAGTCAATGCAGGTACACAAGATTAGCAACAGGAACTTCAAGACTACATCCAAATTAAATTGAAAATCTTTCTTCTTGATCACGAACTTGTGTCTTAATGCCTCTTGAATTTCTGCCTGATTTCTTCGATTTAATTTGAGCATGGACTCGAAATATTGATAGTTTCCTCATAGAATCATTACGCTTATAAGGCAATTTCAACAAATCATATATCAAAATCTTAATAATTAATTGCCTGAATCCAAAATACCTCTCCTTAAAATCATTTTTGAAAATAACAGGAGTAGGGATTATTAAGAAATGAAACCAATTTCAAGTCATCTAAAGCATAGTTTCCGTAACACAAGGGCAATTCAAAGTCAGCAACCTCATCTTTAGATTAAAAAAAGCTTCAGGGGCACTGAAGAAGACCAAAAAGCTGAACCTTAAGGGACAATGAAGATTACCAAAAAAAAGAAGCTTCAGGGACAGAGTGGATTAGTGAAGATCACCAAAACATGAATCTTCAGGTACAAAACCAAAAAAACAGGATATATGACATATCTACATTTGTAACTGTCTGTCTGAGTTGACAATTTCATTTTGGTCTTGAGCTTCCTTTGCATATGTTCCTCCATTTGTCTTTGAGGTCTGTTGTTGTACGACCTTTGAAAACATTACATCCAAATTCCAAAACCTTCTTCCATGACATACTTCTTTCATTAACACTAGAAAATCTCTGTACTCCCTCCTGCAATACTGAAAGTAATGATCACCATAAACCATATCTACTCATACTTATCAAAAGAATTTTGATAAGTAAAAATATATATATATATATATATATATATATATATATATATATATGTTACATATATATATCAAAAAAATAAAATAAAACAAAAAGAACAGAAAACATTTTATTGATACAAATGAGAACGATAAAGTCATGCCATTGCTACTACAACAGGTTCCAATAGTTAAAGGCATAAAATTGAGATCAAATTCTTCAGACGCAGATTGCCTGGTTGAGGGGTTTGAGGTGGAGAAAGATAGGATTAGAGTGTACCAAACTTAGCTTGCGATGATATTATCTCTTTAATGTCATCCTTAGTATTAAGTGCTTCTAAATGCTTCTTAAAATCAATGTCTAGTAACACTATGGGAGGATCTCTGGTGCGATGATTGCCCTTCCGTCTTGATGTTTCATTTTTCTAGGTCCAAAGGTGTCTCCACAGATATTAAAAGTACATATAGAAGACTTAAAATAGAGTGGACTCAATTGGATTCATGATGAATTTAATTTGATCAATCTTCAATGCTTTTACTATGATGTCACTCCATAATTTCCATTCAAATCACAAAATAGTATATATTGATATTACAGGTATCCCAACTATATTATATAGTAAATCAAAGCACTAAGATGTTTTTCTTTCCGGTCCTCTCTTTCTCTTGCCTCTCATGCTATTTACTACCCTAGCGACCAGATTAAAACATGTTGTTTACAGTTTGTAAAAGAGTTTGTGCAAATTCTACTTCAATTTAGATTTGGAAACTCAATTTTTCACAACCTGCTGCACTACATATTGGTGCATAACTTTGTGCATCAGTGCATACCTTTAAGTTAACACATGCATCAGTGCAAAAAATCCACTCATTGACACATGACTTTCTAGAGTTCTATTTGTTGGTGAATAAAATAGGCGGATCGATGCATAAAGTCACTGTTTTTAACATTTCGATGTTCAAACTGATGCTTTTCCAAACTTTCGTAGTCTAAACACATATAACCTTCCAACAAGTGCCATAAATAATCAACTCTCATCACATGAAGTGTGAATAATAACGAAAAGTTTAGTTGATTAATCTATATATATTGCTATGTCAATAGGACTTAGGTTGGCAAATTTCATTAACTTGAAGTTCATATTTCAATAAGTACTTTCAAAAGTTAGTTTAGTTGTGGTATCTTTACCCAAGGGAGAATCGGAACTTAAAACTAGGGGTGCAACTTGGGTTGGGTAACCCGAACCCAACCTAAGCCCAGCCCGATTTTTTACGGGCATCATTTTTATAATTAGGGTTGGGCTTTGGTTACAAAATCTCAACCCGAATTTAATTAGGGTTGGGCTTGGGTTGAAGTGCTAGCAACCCGAGCCAACCCGAATTCTAATATTATTTTCATATATATTTTTACTTTTAAATACATTATATATAATATTTAAACTTTCATTACTTTTTTTCTTTTCAACTTTTTTTGTTAAATCTTAACTTATTGTAAGTTAACATTTAGGACAATTAATTTTCTAAAAAAATATTTGTAATTTATTAAAAATCTACAAAAAGTCTTTAAACTTCTTTTTGTTTAAGAGTAATTTAATCTAAAACTAATTCAAGATCATATTAAATTTTCGGTATAAAAATTAACCATATGAGTAACCCGAATTAACCCGAAGTTTTAACCCGGAATCAAACCCCGAGTTGTGAGTCCGAATTTAAAAGTAGAATGATGGGTTGGGCTCGGGTTGAGTAGCTAAGGTTGAGGATAGGGTTAGGGTTGGGCTTGGGCTTAGCATTTCATATGGTGGGTTGGGCTCAAGTTATACCTCAAACCGCCCAACCACCCGAGTTACAACCCTACTTAAAACTACTTCATAGAACAAAAAGGTAATTACAACTCTCAACTATGACTCACCAATTAGGATTCAGACTCGTGAGCATTCATTCAATTAGGGTTTTTCGAGAAATATATGTTTGATGCATTAAATTCCTTTTTACAATGCATACAAAGTGTTTATGGTAGGTTTTTTTTTTCCCTTCTAAATTTCCTTAGTCTATGCAAGATAGGGCCATTCAATCAATCAATGGATCAACCGAAAGCCACCGGACATGTGTCAATCTATACTTGACGTCTATCGAGTATTGAGACCTGTGAATTTTAGTTTCCACGTGAAAATTAGACACTTGTAAGAAAAAAATTATTGTTACTCTAACTCTGTATAAACCCATATGTGTTTAGAAAATTTATGCCAAGATGTTATAAGCTAGAAACAACTATCTTCGAGCAGATCTACAGCATACTAAGTAAGTGGATCTTTATTGCTAGATTTTCTTTCTTTCACGTACACATTTGCTTATAGAATGGTGGGAGTGTGTATGCTATAAGAAGAAATCAACACAAAAGTTCACTACACAAAGAACATGAAGATTGGATGTCACTCATCATAAAGATCATGTGCTAGAGAAGAAGCAAGTTGCATGATTAGCAAATCTGCTTAGTCACAGAGGCAAGCGATCAGTAGGATCATTTAGCTCAAGTTTAAATCAAGAGAGGTGACTAGAGAATTCAAGAGTTTGGGAATCTGGTTAACTAGGCTATAAAAGTCATTTTTCATAGTGGATTTGATCAGTGTGGTTGAATGCTTTACTTTTATGTGTTTACCTACTTACAACATGATGGACGAATTTATATATGGTTTTTAGTCAGTTTTTGAATTTCTCTTATAAGTTGTTGAAATTCAAATATTAGTCAAAGTTTGTTTACTAATCAATCAAGATCTAGATCACGGCCTTGCACATACTCTACGTTAGAGCCTTGGGTTATGGTCTTTAGTTTCTCATATCCATTTAGAGAATTAAACCTCATGTTCTCTAGGAAACAAAATCACCACCAAGAAGGGCAAAAAAAAAAAAAAAAGAGAGAAGGAGATATGATCTATAACCATATGTATATATAAATACACACACATAAAAGAACCGGGTGAAAGAAAAATATGTTGCAGCGTAATTTTCTACACAACGTTACATGAACTTAAATAGCATTTTCAATTGCTTATATGCATCAAACCTTGAAAAGAAATATATATATAAACCATCTAAAAAGGATAACTCAACAAAGAAACTAGCATCCCAACCATCTAGGATCAGCCTTACCAATCTTGTTTGCTGTTCATACTATTTGAAAAAACTACCTATAAAATCATGCTGAATTTTAGAAGATTTATGTTTATAAATGTTTGACATACATAAGGTCTTAAAGTTTATACAAATTAGGGTAAATTACACTGACCTCCCTTGAAGTTTCGTCATTATACACTGACTTCCCCTTTTATTTACCAAATTACAATGACCTCCCCTATAAATGAATGTTGTTAACGGAAAAAGTAAAAGTACTAATTTACCCTTACATATTAATTTATTATAAAAATATAAAATATCATGGATGTAAAATACCAGAAGTACCCTTTTTAAGATTTTTTTTTTTTGTTTTTTTCTTTTCCTTTCCCACTGCCTTGCCACTGCCGACAAGCCCTATCTCTCTCCTCTGTCCCCGACGGCTCCCCGGCAACCATGCTTACTTGCTTTCTCCCATCTCCAAATGTTTGTTTCTTATATGTTCCCACCTTGATAGTGGGTCTGTGCTAGAGACGGGTGACGTCAACGGAGAAGAGGATGGACGGCGATGTGCTCGACGACGGAGTGTACCGTCAAACACACGGAACGACGGCGATGCAAGGGACTGTTCTTACCAGTGGCGAAGGAAGATGTCTTTACTGACGAGCATGGATTAACTAAACCGTGGTGAAGCTAGAAGGAACTGTCCCGGGAAGCAAGCGATTGATTTGCAGATGTTGGGACTGTGCTTTACCGGTGATGACCCAAACAGGTCTGTACTGCCGACGGCAAGAGAACTTACAGGCTATCAAGGATTTTGCGGCAATGGAACTTACTGGCTTGGTAGCGGCGAGCTTTGAACAACTAAATGGTCGGCAAGGATGATGAGACCGCCGATGATGGTGACTGTTAGTGTGCTTGGATGACGGCCGATGACGGAGACCGACGACGGCAAGCACGACAGTTGCGGCGACGGATAGCGACGATGGGCAAGGATGAATGGCTGAAGGAGAGCTCGGAACGAAGCTTACCGTCGAGGCCCGAGAACGGTGGTGAGCAAGGTGTTCTCGGCGGTGAAACGGAATGACGAGGACTACGGCCAGGATGGCGGGTACAGTGGGCACTCTTAAACTAGGTTGCATTTTTTTTGCATTTTTTTCTCATAGCTAATCACAGAACTTTGGAGCTTCTCCAACACACTTACATTTTATGGAAGCCAATGGGTTCATGAATGATTCCATTCACAGCACTGATCATCTCATGTGAAGTGAAACCATCATCCTTCGCATAAAATTGATGCACCACTTTGCACATTTTCCAGAACAAATCCCTGTAAGCTCTATGCTATCTTTTTTCTGCAAAACTAATCTAAGCATTCTCTCCTCTGACCATCAATGAACCTCTCATCTCTCCAATGGACTCTCCTTCAGTGATAGCACCACTATTAATCGTGTGCAATGACACAGCATTCAGTTTACCTTCCTTTGATTCCCTCTGCAATATAACCACAAGGAATCATCAACTCATTAATCGTGTTCTGGGTTTGTTGATATGAGGGCACCATTGTCTTTTTGAGTTTATAAGTCAAGGATAGTATTGTAAATTTGCAGTGATTATTGAGGTTAAAAATGTCATTTCAGGTATTAGAAGGGTAAGATTGTCTTTGTAGTAATTTTTTCTAACGGACTTAAGCATAAACACTCAGTTGTTTAACAGCAGGGGAGGTCCGTGTTATCAGTGTATAAACTTTAAGGGAGGTTAGTGTTATTTGGTAAATAAGAGGGGAGGTCAGTGTAATTTACCCTACAAATTATCAACCTAATGCAACAGCCTCTCACTCCAGTTCTAGAACTGGCTGTCAGCTGTTATAAAAAGATAAGCACAGGAACACTTGCAAATGAAATCCCAGAAACACGCATTTATAAAAAGTTAAAGGCAAAGCATAGGAAAACCAGTAAAAGGAACCCTAAAAACACATACATATACATATATGCATGGTAATATAATTATACATGCTAGATCAAGAATAGCATATCATTCCATCACATGAAGAGAGAGATATAGATACACAGACACAAACATTCAAAAAAACTATTACCTTTAGCATATCTACCTCCATTTTTGTCCAGGGTACTTTCTTTCGCCTTGAATGAGGAATTGCTGGATACGTGCTGCAACGGGACCAAAAGTTATTCTTTGTCAACAATAATTCTTCTTCTTCATCCTCCTTCTCCTCCTCCTTGCCGTTATCCCAAACAAATGGGGTCGACCCAATGAATTCTCTTTTTCTATTTTATACTATTAGACACCATGTCTCCCTTCATATTTATTTTTTTATTAAAGTCATTTCTAATTACTTCATACCAAGTTAGTTTTGGTCAACATAGTTGTCTTTTACCTTCTAAGCAAACTAATTTTCCTTTTCTGACGGGTACATCAACAATTCTACAATGTATGTGTATACCACCTAAACCTACTTTCATTATTTTGACACCAATACGTGTTATTCCTAATTTCTCCCTCACACTTTGATTAACAAATCTATCTCTTCTACTCAATCCCATCATCCATTTCAAGATTCTCATTTCAGTTACATGAATGCATGGTTTTATTTATTTCTTTAATGTGAACCATTTTATAAAATTTTCCTTTTAACCTCATTTGGTATTTTATCACATAGAATACCACTAGCGTGTTTCCATTTTATACATCCTACTCCAATCCTACTAATAACATCATCACCTATCGCCCTATCTTTTTGAATTAATGATACTAAGTATTGAGAATGATTATTCCAAGTAATCCTTTGGTCTTGAATTGTTATTGTTATATTACCACTTATCGAGTTTTGTTTTAGTCTTATCAATTCTTAATCCTTGTTTGTAGTACATTGCTCTAGATTTCTAATTTTGTTCTCAAGACTTAGAAGTTTTTAAGAACATTGTGTTATTAGCAAACAACATGCACCATTAAATATTTTCTTGTATATCTTTCATTCTTTGTAAATAAGTATAGGCTAAGGACTGATCCTTGGTATAGTCCAACTTTTATAGAAAATTCACTTTCATATTTGCTACATATTTTAGTCTTTGTCTTGTTAAACATATCCCGAGTCATTTTAAGTTTTAAAGGGACCCCTTTTCTTTGTAAGGCCCACCATTTTTCGATATACCTTGGTACTTTGTCTTTGTCATATGCCAGTCTAAAAAAACCATGTGCTTCAACCTTTATCAGTTGTCAAAGTAATTAACTTATATCCCTATTTTCATTCCTGCTGCAGCACTCAAAACGCATAATGAAGGGTTTGCTTGGTTTGTCATTCAGAAAACAGTTATATGTTTTCAGAGAAGAGAACTGAAAACCAGAAAACTGTACAAAACTCTACTTGGTTCAGTTTTCGTTTCTGAAAACTCAGTTATAAAAAGGCAAAGTTTTCAGAAAATTGTCTTTTATAGTTATGTTAAAATAGTTTTCTGAGTTCTTGAGAACTGTTTTCGAAGTGACCAACCAAGCAGGCCCTAGGTTTTTGAATGATGCTGTATAAATGGCCAGGTGGGAGAGAAAAAAAAAACAATAAAGATAATTTCTGACAGTTTTAAAAATTAAAGTTGTTAAAGGAGGTGCTCTATATATAAGAAAGAGATTCTCAGAGTTCAACAATGAAAAATGGTACAAGTAATGGATAATAGTGACAAGGAAAAATGGTCCGGAGATGTGTTCAAAGTAGACATTAAGCAACAGAACGACCTAAATATTTTCAAGTATAAACTTACTAGTGGGTTTCTTGCTTCCTCCATTGTATGTAGTAATTTGAGGCGATGGACTTATCATTTTCTTCTCCTGAACTTTGCCCTGCATCATTATTTGGTGGACAAGTGGGCACATGAGGAGATACAATAATTGGTTGCTGTAGACCATCCTGATGTATTCCAACTTCCGCATGTCCTCCATTCCAAACGACAATCTCTCTGCCTTTGCTAGATGATTCGTCACCATCAAAATGATGAAAAGCCTGCACTTCTATCTGATGACCTTGTAGGGTGCTTGTAGATTGGCACTCTTGGCCCATTTCTTTCCCTTCTTGTTGATCTTCCATTGAAACACCAAGTATTCCTTTAATCATGTTTGCTCCCTTTTCTGCACAAGGTAAATTATGATTGACACAAGATGCTGAAGGCTCTTCTTGTTGCTCATCATTTATGATCCTACATTGAGGGCTACTGACTTCATTTAAATAATTTGTGACGTAGTTTGCTTCATTGCATTCATCCAAGTTTTCATCTTGTCTTAATGGAATTTGCTCTGGTTGCAATCTCTTAAAACATTTCTTTAGTCGTTGTTCAATCCCCAAACCAGTAAAGGCAGCCAGTTCTTTCTTTTTCAAGGAAGCCTCTTTCTTAAGTTTCAGATAGTCAGACATTGCTCGCGAATATGTACAGAAGGGGCAGTAAAAGTTCCCCCTGTCATCAAAGCTGGCTGCACTGCCCAAGCAGCTCTTGTGAACCATTAATGGGCAGGTAGTGGCACTACAAGCCAACAACTGACCACTTTTGTTACACTTGACGCAAAGATTCAGCTCTGTTGAATCAGCCATTGAGAAGGAATCTTGACTGTATGTGCTCCAAGAACTCAAAAGATTATCTTTCATAGTGGCAATATCAATCTTGTCAACATGATGCCAGCTGGTATCACTTGAAGTTTTGAATTCACAATTATGCTCCATATCATCTTTGGCTTCATTACATGGTGCATCATTTGACGTACTTTGTCTGGCTTCATCAACACAAAATTTTTGCTTGATTACATCTGGGAATGAACTATTTGACACTCTCATTTCAGCAGAATCTTTACCTTCATCTTTAGCATCATCGACACACATATTTTGGGTAGGTCCATCTCCTGACATATCTTGAGGTTCATTGTCATTGCACGGTATATGTAGCTGTTTATGCTGCAATCCAGCACTGTCGACATCACTGTTCTGCCTCTTTGATGCAGCACACTCATCATCACCATCCACTAGAGACCAGCTTTCCTCCACGCGTCCAACCTGAGGTTCTCTCTCCAAATCACACCCTCCTCTTCCAGTATGCTCTACAGTTCTTCCAGATGAATCATGTAGTAGTTCATTTCCATGTAGAGAAACTGAATTCTGGCTTATGTCTAGAGTGGTAAAAGTTGCATCATGCTCAAGCTTCTTGGCAGCATTTGAATGCGGGTCACAACCATTGTCCATATAATTTTGGCTCTCGTGAAATTCTCCCACTTGATTTCCAGTAGCCAAGACAGGTAACAAGTTTCTTTTGGGTGAGTCTTCTCGCAAAAGACCATCTCCTTTTTCAGGAGTCAAAGTAACAAAGTTCCCTTGTGCTGCCATGGTTTGGCCATCTGCGGCGCTCCACTCATGTCTCCATACGGTGCTATTAGGATCATCACCATCGGCTACAGGGGTTCTATTTTCAGATTGATTTCTAATTCCCAACCCACTCTTTTCCTTCAATGATGCAGGAATTAGGTGGCTACCTTGAAGAATAGCATCCTTCAGCTGTTTGTAACGGGACAGAAACAAAAAGAGTAAATGAGAATTAATTAAACACGGATATCTTCTTCTCAAATTCAAATATGAACAAAAAAGGGTTCTTTTTTTAACCTGTTGTAAAGTAGGTTTAGGCAAGCAAGCTCTTTTATGCATGATAAAGGATTGAACATCCCATTTTGACATCCCTGGTGCACCCCTTCTCAAATTTGAAACAGACATCTGATTAGACAAAAAAAATACACACATATAAATTTCCACACACAAATTAAAAATCCCATTACCAAAAAGACCTAATGTGGGTTCATGAACTACAGGGTTTCCTCAAATTTCAATTATTTCAAATACTCAACTAAATATTCAACTAAAATGACAAATAAAAACTTAAAAGTATGCCATACCTCAAACAATATTCGTTCACAGACATCTTCACAGCTCTCTGATGGATCAATTACAATTTTTGAATGTGGCTCAGAAGAATCACCATTTTGGGTTTCGCTTCTCTGACTCTGAGAGAACAAACCCTCCAAAATTCTCAAATTTATGACTTCCCTCATATTTTTTCCCACATCATCAGCACATTCGAGGGGTATCATTCTGAGCAAATCTGAAAAAAAAAATATATAAACTTCAAAACCTAATTCTCCAATCAGATGAAAAATTAAAAACTACAAAAAGAAATTTCAATTCTGAAAGAAAACAAAAGGGGGTTTTCACGTACTCATCAGAACAGGTGCATCTACATGCTCCAAACTTGCGATGTATTCGGTGACCCAAAGCCATGGAACGGCTGAAGCAGATAAATGGTTGGAATCCATGGAAACCTCTGTTTCAGAGAACGAAGATTTGCTGATTGATGATGAAAAAGGGTCGAAGGTTCGCTAGGGTTTTATGCTGTTCTATATGCACGGTTCGATGAATGACTCGACGTCTCTCACATTTGGAATAGATATAGAAAATTTTCCCGCCATTTGTGAGGTATTATCAATTGCTTCTTGTCATTGAATAGGTTGAATATTAGGGCATGAAATGGAGTATGTGAATTTATTTATTTAACATTTGTTTCGATTTGAAGACTGAAATATGCCCGTAAGACAAAATAATAATAATAAACTAATTTCATAAAATACTGATTATTAAGGTATTTGGGAATTTAATAAAAAAATAAAAATTATAATATTATAATTTATAGAGAATATTATTATAATTCAAAACTTTCCTAAAAGCATTACTTGTCTTTTCTTATCTTTTTCGTCCATATTTAAAAGGATAAAAATTTATAAAATATGAAAAATGACTTACCTATCTTATTAACATTTCTCTTATTATCTCTTTAACGAATTAATAAAGTTTGTTCCGTCCTTCATATTTTTCCTCCACCTCTCTTACTTCTCTTCAATCAAACAAAGCATGAATATTTGAAATTGAGAAATGCTTGAATAAACTTTCAAATGTTAAGTTGAAGATTTTCAATGACGGACAAAACTTGTGTGACTTGTTTTCATTTTTAAAAACTTCAAATATTAAGTGAATCAAACATTCGATATAACTTCAACACTTACTAGTCCCTCTATCAACGTGTCTCAAAACTGTTGAACAGACATGTACATATAGGTAGGCATTCAAATTGATTATAATTCATATATGATTTATTTAATTAACAAATTATCAAATTTAATCGCTACAGGTTATCGGATTAAATGTTCTAATTCATACCCTAATTATTTTTTATTTGGATAGAAATCAGATCCATTAACATATCTAGTTATAAGGTTACGTGGAGTGAAGAGTGTTAATATATAGGATAATGTATCACATTGACTATGCAATCATATGAATCTAACGATAGATAATTAATATATATAAATTTAATGGTAAATACCTAAGATATATGTATATATAAAACCTTTAATTTATGTTCAATTTGTTATGGTAATGAATTATCGAATTCGGATTATCGTCAGGTGATCAGATTTTTTATTCAATCCATATCCGGGTAATTGGATTCATTAACCAGTCAATTTATAGGCCAAATGAGGCACGTTTAATTTGAAAACTCTCCATAATTACTCTAATTTTTTTTTTTAATGATATTTGTTTCTCTTTATTTGAAGATAAATTTAAATTCGAATATAATTTATCAAACTTTATATAAAAATTTTGAACAATGAGATTTTGTCACGCACCCATTAGAAGAGCCGCTATTGATGAAGTTTAATTAAACAAAATACTCTAACCCCTTAACCATTTCTTACTCACCCTTTCAATTCCATCTTACTATTTATTCTAGGTGCTTTGAGATCCCACTATCTTTACTATTTTATTTTGTGAAATGACGTAAAATGACAACACCTTATGGTAGGGTAAAGTCATTCTGTTGCTATGTAAAGAATTATATATATATATTTGTGAAAATTTAACAAGTAGGGGAGTAATGATGTAATTATTTTATTTTAATAAATATTGAACACTCATTTGTTGTTATGTAAATAATTATATATATATAGATATGCATGTGTGTGTGTGTGAGAGAGAGAGAGAAAATTTATTGCAAATTTTAAAGTTTAAAAAATTAAATGTATATTATATATATAGTGAATAAGTATCTTTAATTTATTTTTAATTATATATTTTAAAAAATGATAATTATATATATTAAATTTTAATTGGGAATAATTTTTTATTTTTCATAATTATAAAAAGAACTGAGGTTTTCATTCAATATGATATATTGTATATTAATCTAACAACTGTGAGAACAAATATATATATATATCCCCATTTGACCTGTAAATATATATATATTAGAACTTTATAACTTATATGAGTGACAAGTCCTGAGAAATGTTAAACAGTCAACTTATAGAGAGATAATACAGTGATATAATATATTGTTAGGGAAATGTATATAGAATTATTTTTTTTTTTTTTGAAAGTGAGAAAAATCTTTAAAGTGGGTTAAATATAGTTAATGTGCACGTAACACCCCTTCTACTATGAAATTATTAGCATACGTACTCTTTGGGCATTAAAAAAGCAAAATAGACATTATAACATTACTTTATGTCATGTCTATGTAAAAATTAATTTGAAGTTTGAAGGATGTTTCGGCTCAAATTTTAAACAATAAGGGAGTTAATAACACAAAATTTAAAATAAAGAGTGGAAATTAATACTACTCATAGTATTAATTTCTCACTTTACCCATAATATATATATATATATATATATATACACACACACTATTATTAAAAGTACAAGAGGGGGTTAAGGTGTTTCAAATTATTTATAAATAAAATAATAAAATAGTTTATCTATTGGAGTTAAGGTGTTTCAATTATTTATAAATAATAAATTAGTTTATCAAAAAATAAAATAAGTTACCAATTAAAATAATTCTTATTAATTATACTCGGAATTCTTTAAGATTAAAATAACTAAAATAAATTATCAAATAAAATAAAATAGATAATTGTTTAATCTATACCACAAAGGGATTAAAGTGTTTCAAATCCCCTGTAGGCTCTCCTCCCTAATTCCCGTGTGTTGAGCATGATGGTTGTTTTTGTGTTTTTATCTTCTTCTCTTTCAGTGAGGATTAAATGGTTTGAGTTATTTAATATGTTTTTTGTTTTGTCTTATTTTAAATTGAAGTGTCAGTAACTACAAACTTTCCTAAAAGGCTGATACAATTTATTGTTCTTCAAGCCGTGGAGGTAAAAGCAGTTTAATTTTTCTTATAAGGGGTTAAAGTGTTTTAAACTATTTATAAATAAAATTATAAAATAAGTTACTATTTTAATTCCTATGATGCTCGAAATTCTTCAAAGTTAAAATAACTAAAACAAGTTACCAATTAAACTAAAATAGGTAATTTATTTATATACACTATCTTCCATTTTTTTTTTTTTTCAGTTTTTATTCTTCAAGCCGTGGAGGTGAAAACAGTTTAATTTTTCTTAGTTTCAGTTTTTTGTTCTGAAAACAGTTTAATTATTTTATATGTATCCAGGCATGTTATTGATTTCTGAATTTTTTTTTTAACAGATGATATTGATTTTTTTGACAATACAAACTCTTAGTTTCAGTTTTTATTTTTTTTATTTTTTATTTTTATGTATCCAGGCATGTTATTGATTTCTGTCCTTTTTTTATTTTTTTTTATTTTTTTATAATAGATATTATTTATTTTTTTGACAATACAAACTCTTAGTTATACAATTTATTTTTTTCTTTTTGAATAATTTGTCTTTAGTTATTGATTTTATGTGGCATAATTGTCTCCTGTTAGTCCTTGAAATATATTGAACACAATTTTACATGGAAATCTAAAATTACAATGAAGAAGACTTCTAATCAAACCGTCCGAGACATATGTAAACAACCTAAAACATGTAAATTTATCAATATTATTATTAACAAAATTTGTTTTAAAAAAATTTACTTATGTATTTATTGATTTTTTATTTTGTATAATCTTTTACAACTCCACTCATGTTGCTATTCCATTCTTTCTGGAACTACTTTAAACAAATAATTTGCACTTTTATTTTCAATTAAATTTTATTCACGCACGTACCGTTTTACTAGTATTGTTATAATTATATACTCTTGTAATGCTAAAAGTTGAACAAACAATCTGCATTCTGCAGTGACAACTTCACCACCCTACCACCAAGAAAAACGTGGTCCATAATATATATATATATATATATATATATATATATATATATATATGATCATGCATATATGTATAATATATATATGATCATTAGGTTGAGCAGGATGGACCAAAAGCCTTAATCTCTAAAAGCATTTCCACTAACATGTATTCTCTATATTTCAAACTCTTTCTTAAAGGCATCTTTTGCTAAAGCCAAGTAAACCAATCACTAGTTTCACTTTCCCTTGCAGCCTCCACGTGTCACTGATAAAATTTAAGATTGACTGATCCATGCAATTGGATTGAGCTAGTTTCTTTGAAACCCTAGCTGATCCATATCCTGGATTTCTTGAAATTTTTGGTCTAGGGTTTGTCCATGACATTCAATTTTTTAAATTAATTAAATTGGTGATAGTATTGAAAACCACAATTCTCAGTATCCATAGGGTCAGTGGTATATGCTATATGGATATAAAAGTACAAAAGACAAGCTTTTTGTCATATGTCTTTCAGCCAAACTCCAATAATGGGCATAGTTTAAATAAAAAAACCCAATACATTATTAGCACTAACAATTAATATTGCTTTACTTGAAATGCTTTAAACCATAGAATATGACACAAACAAGGACTTTCTCTTTTAGACTCTTTGTTTAACCTTTGAAGATTACTTTAGAAGCAAAGGGTCATACGTGTGACTTTGGCAATCCTTAAATTCAGGACCAAAATGTTCTGCACTCAATCTTCTTCTCAAGTCACCTATCTTAGGTGAAGAATTGTTGATTTGTTTGTGTTGTCTTTGCATTCTCAAATGGCCTCAACACCTCAAACTCCAAAAGACCATGCTATCTATGTGAGTGCACCCACTAGCCCAAGTGTGTGGAGCTTACACAGCTTGCAATTCTACAGTGCACCGGCTAGTCCCACTGATAGCGACAACGAATTTTCTCAGAGAAAGATGGAGATGAATGAAGATTTCAATTCTAATTTCGATGACTTTGAATTCGAAACTAGTAAGAATTTCGGTCCCGGCGGTTTTGGATTTGAGACAAGTGGGCCTTTTGAGTGCCTGTCGGATGATCAAGAGCGACAAGTGAAGGAAAAACAACCGCAGCGTGGGGACTCACTTCCCACTATGGCATTTGCAGACGAGCTATTTTACAATGGCCTAGTGATGCCTCTAAAACTCCCTCCTCGGCTTCAGTATGTCAATGACACGAAACGCGTTGGTCTGAACTCAACCGCTTCTTCACCAAGGTCCCCTGGCTCGGGATTTAGGATGCCATTTTCGTGGTGGACTATGTCAGATGATGATTTTGATCCGTTCACGGTTGCATTGGAGAAAGTGAAGGGAGAAAAGAGGAGAAAAAATCACGCGAACCACCATAGGCGGAGTAGGTCCCTTTCGCCTTTTAGGACCACTACTCCAAAGAGGTCCAATGATGACTCAGAAGGGTGGAACCAAGACCAAGACAAGCTAGGGAGTCCCCTGGAACTCAAGCAGTATCAATTTGGACCGAACCCGGATGGGCCGAAGGAGTCCAAGGGCTCGGCCTATGCAAGATGGGTTCGAGACCAAAACCAACAAATGGGCCTGAAAAAGTCGCCAAATGCGGAGACAAGCCCAAAAGGACCATCCAAGACCAAGGGTTGGTTCAGGAAGGGTGTGAAGCCTGTGAAAATGGAGCAAGAAGGGGCCATCAACCCAACTTCAACCACAATTCCATGGCCCAAAGTAAAGAAAGGAGAGAGAAGTGAAGAAAGTGGTGAAGGGTCTTGTTATGTGGAAACTAGAGTACAAAAAGTGGGGAGATTTCTAATGAGATATGCATCATTTGGGAGAGAAAACAATGAAGACAAACCAATAGAACAAGAGAAAGCACTGGTGAAGGCAAGTTACTTTAGGGGACTAAGCTTCTCATTTAAGGGAAATGCAAATAGAAATGGGAAGAAGAAAAAGGTGCATGGAGAGTCCAATATGGCAATCGCAAAAGCATGGCCAAGACCAAAACTCACTCTATGTTTGGGTTATGGTATTGGAAGTCCAAGGGCAAGGACTTGATAGTCCACACAGTCCACACGGTTGAAAGGACAGTCTCATCATGATAGGCTTACTTGGTCTCTCAATCCGACGGTTGAAAAGGCAGTCTCATCATGATAGGCTTACTCTTTTTTCTTCTCTTTTTTTATCAAAAGATGTTTGACGATTGTAACTTTGTAAAATTCTCTTTTTTGCATTCAGAGTCTAGTTGCAGTAACGTTGAAAATATATGTAATTCAACATATATACATTGTATTTTTTATGTATATATACAATAATTTGATCATTGTAAGAATCTCGGTACTACATCAAGTTATGATAAGCTTAGTCTTATCTCAAAAGATGTACAAAAAACTTCTTCATTCAAATTCTAGTCGTGGCCGGTAACGTTGGAGTTATATGTAATTCAACATATATATATATATACATTGTATTATACATGTAATGCAATAATTTAATCATTGTAATGAACAAATTGAAGAAAGAAAAGCAAAAACAAGTGGAACATAATATATTATAAGATGACTAAATTTGTTGAATCTATTAGGTAGTGTTTTGACTTCTGCACGTTGGATGACTACATGGAAGGACTAATGAAGATAACTAACCAACCTAGTGGAAAGAAGAGATGTTGTTAAACATGGATAAACATTCCATGTAGTCAAAGGCTGAACTGTTCAAGGTCAAAGGCTGCTTTCATACTTTTTTTTCCTTAAAATGTAGAGAGAGAAAAGAAGAGAAATGTTTTAAGCATAGAGAAACCAATGATAGCCTATGATGTCTTTATCGAATTGGTTGAGTAGTGCAAGTGATTCTTTTGGTGGCTAACCTAGAATTTCCAAGCAACTTCCTACCTCCAATTTGAAAATGGAAGCAAGAAAGTTCCCTTACAAAAGCAAAAGTTGTAATTTGCATCCTAAAAAGAAGTTTTAAAAGGTAGATAAATCATTGTGTGTGTGTGTGTGAGAGAGAGAGAGAGAGAGAACACAAAAAGGGGAAAAAAAAAAACAGAAAAAATGACTTTTGGGCTGAAATGTACAGAGTAAAATTCTAAAGTGAACTGTTTTGAGTCATTACATGGTCCTGCCAATCGTTAAGGGTGTGTTTGGTCAGATAGGGAAGAAAAGAAAAGAAATGATAACATTAATTAGGAAAGAAAAGAAAGGATAATAATAATTTATATTCGTGTTTGGATAGATAGGGGAAAAAAGAAAAGAAATGATAGCTATTTTTGTTTGGATAATATAGACGAGAGAAAAGAAAAGAAAGGATAATGACCAAATTACTATTCTACCCTTTCATAACCACTTCACATATTATTCATTTTCAAAATCTCACATGGAATATTTTGGAATGTTTCTGTATGATAGTTCAATGCAATGGATAAAAGATATTTTGGAATGTTTCTGTCTAATAGTTCAATGCAATGGATAAAAACAAAAGTAAAAAAGAAAAAGAAAAAAGAAAAAAATAAAAATAATGGGTGAAAACAAAATTAGGACATAAATGTAATAACTTTTCTGTATATTGATTTGTGTATTTTTTCTCCCCCTATCTTTTCAAATTGGGAGATAAACCAAATGAGGGATAGAGAGGAATAACTCTCCCTATTCTCTCCACTTAACCGACCCAAACACACTCCCACTCTATTCTTTCTTTTATTATTTTATTTTCTCTCCCTATCTCTTCAAATCAACCATACGAAACACACCCTAACTGACACACAAGTGAAAAAACTTAATACAGCTGACAATATTTGCTTGCGTGCCTGGTTATGACTGGCCCTGGCCACACGGTCCGGACCATGTACAATTTTCTCCTATTTCGGCCGCAGAAATTGGAAATGGTATATTAAATTCTTGAACTAACTATTCTTCCCCATTCTACAATTAATAACAGACTCAATATATTACTGACTAAAACTTGTATATATCATGGTAATTATGGGACATCAGAGTTCCATTTGAGGTGAGGAGTTTGCATAGTTTGCTTGAAATACACTAGTAAATTCTCCCACCCAGGCACTGAAATAAAAATTTGAAAGGAAAGGGGAAAAAAAGTGGAAAATATTTGAGCAAGGCCTCCACTTTCATGCCACTAAGAAGAAAGGCCAGTTTTGATTCTATAAATCACTAACATAAAGTGAAAAACTGAAAATTCGCTAATAGGAGGAGACAGACTTTTTCAGTTCGACGCCCCTATTCCAAGACTTCAGCTGGCCACAGCTGCCTCCACATGGAAATCTCATCGCTGCCTTTGAGTTTCCGAATTCCACCATAAAACCCATCTGCCTCATTTCCTTCTTCCCTATGGTCTTTCCTGTTGATGTTCGTGCATCTCCATCGTGAACCAGGAGTGTACTGGTTGAACTCCAGTACCACGGTGTCTGTCAGCATAAACAAATGGTTAGAATTCATATAAAATGTCGAGAATCATAAACACACGCACACACACAGAAATTTACTTCAAATTTTCTAACTGCTTAAACTAGTGATACTTTAATTTAATTACCTTCCATATCATTTCAAATTTTCATATTATGTACTCAACAGAACAAAGCCATAATGGTAAAAAATGGCCCAACGCTCAATCACTTAAAAAATGTTCGACTAAATCTCAGAAAATATATGCCAGATTGTTCCAACAGCACCTCAAACCGACACAGCTACTTAAAGGTTTCACAGGCCTGTGTCCTTTTGAGCCAATCTAAATTAACTTAAATAAAAAGTTATTGGGCATTTGGTAGTTCCACATCTACAAAAATGAAACTACCAAATTTATAGTGTCACACCCAATGCCAGGCAAACAGAAAATGATAGTCTTATTTGTGCAGCACCTAAAAATATGTACAAAGTGGGCTGTGCTCAATTCAGAATGTCACCAGAACACAAAACTTAGACATCGCTAACAGTAAGTTTGGGCAGGTGAAAAAATTTAAAATTGGATTAAGTCTAAAATTAACTACAATATAAAAGAATTGAGCAAAAGAAACCAATGGGACGGGGAAACTACTAGGGAGATCAGTCCCATGGCAATCCGGCCGAAAGCAAATACACTGTTGGGTTGGTGAGTAGACACACATGAGGAAACGAAAGGGAAATGTGGGACAATTTTAAGGCTGCATCAGCAGCACCACTCCAACTCCACAACCAAACAGCGCCTGAAGGGAACAAAAATGTTTCTTTCAGTCTGGCTGACCTAATATATTCTGCTGAACATAAGTCATGATACTGTTGGACAAATTAAGACATAATGACAAGAATTTGTATAGGGGACCAATTAAATTGCCCAAAAGGTGACCCACAAGTGAAAGACACAAGTCAAGAATTGAGGCACACAAAGAATGGGGTCTGATCTATGATGATAACATAAAATCATCTCAGCCACATTTTGGAAGATGCTGATATGCATTCAAAGAATTTAAAGATAAACTTTGAAAATTAAGGAGCCTAATCTCTCTTTCCGGTCAAAATATGCCCGTAGATTTTCTACTTAAAAACATTTTTATAGAAAAATCTTCTAACCTTCAAAAAATCTGGAAGGAAAAAGATAAAAAATAAATTACCACTATGGTGACAACGGCAGTAATTTGCATTCCTGTCGCAAGATTCCAAGTGACCTACAATACCATACCACCAACCTGCATATACATGGGCATGGAGTAATTAATCAGCAAAGTAATATTGATTTATTTGTATCTCAAGAGTCCAATACGTTTAGATTGTGTTAGAAGAAAATTTAAATTTAGATTGCGTTAAAAGAAAATTCAAGGAGGAATCACTTCCGTATTTGAAGTTCAATTGAAGTTTTCCAATTGACCAAAGTTCGTTTCAAAAAGCTTAAAGGAATGTTTTAACAACAGCAGCTGCTATCACAGATTAATAATCAATAAACATAAAAGGTTTGCAAATGAAATAAGGCAAACACAACCATGCCTAGTATTGATCTTGTGAAAAATTAAATCAGATAAACAAGAAATTTAAAATGGCTAGACAGGTATAGCATGAAGAACAAACCATAAGGGAATTCTTTATTTCTTCTCCACTGAATCTCAATGTGATCACCAGGGCGTAATTCGTTCAAACAGTCGGAGGTATGAAGATCATGTGGAGAAGTACTGACAGGGGATGCCCTTAGCCTATCCCACGTCACACTCTTCTCTATTACAGCTGCCCTCCTTCCATGAGGTGGGTACCTGAAGTACAAAATTAAACCATATAAATATATATATATATATATATGAAGTTCAGATATAGCATATGTTATTCATCCCCAAAATCATAATTAAAAGAATATATAGAAACCCAGAACACAGTCTGAAATTGAATTTCTGCTAAATATACCATATGTTATTCTTATTCCTTCCCTATATCATAACCCCAGAACATACTATAACATATACACCTCTAAGAATGAAAAAAATTGAGATTCAAGTTCAATTAAGGACATCTCTCCGATTACCTGGCTTCGAAAGTATCAGTGCGCCGATCATAGCTAAGCTCCGCGTCATAGCATGACAACATAAATCCAACATGCCCATTCTGTAAAACAGCAGCACAAACACTTTTGGTTATGTGAAGAACATAATACAATCCATTGTTTTCGAAAGGCTATATATATATATGCATACTTATTTATACACACATATATAAACCTCATAAATCAAACATTGAACCTGAGCTGAGTAATCATATATGATTAAGGCAAGCTTGAAGTGACAGCCAATACCTCACGGTTATAGACCTGAGCAGGAAACCAGAAGTTGCCACTCTCAAGAGAGAGATACCAAGACATAATTGAGTCAGCTGGCAAAGAACTCTTCTTCTTAATACCATTGTCAAGAACTGATCTAATCAATGAAAGAGGCCAGAGACGAGAAAGAGACCTCATCAAGCCTCTTTGCCCGCCTCTCTCAAAGAAGTCGGAGTCCTTCCTCGAGGCAAGATGCCACTGCCACTCTCGGTGGGCGGCCTCGCCTATAATTCTACCCCATTTGTGTTTCATATGCTTCTTCCACAGATGGTCACTCACACATCTCTCTCTCAGTGAACTACAAACACCTGCCATTCTACAAAGCCCATCAGGTGGAAGCCTCTCAAGAATGCATTCCAACACCAATTCAGGCAAGTCCAATACAGACGTATCACCTGCCATCTCAACATTTTCATTGCTCAAGCTAAAAGTCTTCTTCTTCATCGAAAATTTTGAGGGAATTTGAATGGAACTACCGGACAGCCTATTCTTTTTCGACTTGGTGACCGGAAAAAAGGTTAAATCTTTCCAAAACCAGCGGGATAAATATCTCAGCTCACATGCCCATGGTGGAAGTGGCTTGAAAGGAAAGGACTTACAAAGAAGGATGAAAGAGATGCAAGTGATCAAGAAGAAAAGCATTTGGAAAAAAGTGGAATTCTCAAATGGGTTGGCATAAATGATAAGGGAGGATCAAATGTAAGGAACCAATCCTGGAAAAGCAATGGGGGGATATAAAAAGAAACTCTCTTCTTCCCTTCTTCACAACCCTCCTTTAAAAAAAGTGAAAGGGATCTCAAGATACCTTTCAAAAATTGGGTTCTTATTGTTTAGTTGAAGCCCACCAAACCCAACAGTGGGCCTCCTTGTCAAAGTCTAACTAAAATAGGTGAGGACTATCTGTTGACACCTCACACTTCAAGAACAAACTTGAGTGGAAGTTGAATATCTCAGTCCATAAACCTATAGAAATAGCAAGAGTTACTTCACTGCATTCTTCCAATTAAAGAACCATACATCACAACACACCCAAAATAGCAGTTATGCATATGCACATATATACATATATATATAGCTATATATATAAAGAGAGAGAGTAAATGGGTATTCTTGGATGACGCAAGAAAGTTAATGAAGAGGTGGGAAAATTCAGATCTATAATGGGTATCTGACACTTAAAAATCCAAAAGAGGTGATAAAAAAAACAAAGAGAGGAGTCTAGATACAAAGAAGGCTATCTACAAATCTCTGAGCTATTTCAGAAACAAAAACAATCCTTTGAGAATAATAAGGTGAGAAAGAGAGATCTGGGTGGTTGGGATTGAAGCAAAATTAGGTACACCCAACAGATTAAAGATCTATCACACAAAAGAATCCAAATTAGAGAAGGAAGCAACAACCAAAGCAAAAAAAAAAAAAAATCAATCTCGTGGGGGTGGAGAGAGAGAGATTGGATATAGAAGAAAATAATGGAACTCCAAAGTGGGCCACCCCCTCTTCCCTTGAGTCCCACCAAAATCTTCCTCACTCCCACAACTCACAAATCCTCTTCAACCCACAAATCCCACAATGTCTCTGTCTTTAACCTCTCTTTCTCTGCCTCCTCCTCTCTCTTATAGGCGTAATATCAAGCAGGTAATGGGCAAGAATACAAAATTAGGAAAGGGAAACACTGATTGATGTATGGGCGGTGTAGGATTAAAGAGAGTTTTGAGTATATATTTTTGTGTGGATACGAGAGCAACTACTTTTTACCACACAAACAGGGAGATGGAGGGAAGTCCAGCCTTCCAGAAATTATGACCGTTGGTATTATATTTCTAAAGCAATCAGATATACCACTATCTTATTGGTGGTTCGTTCAATCTGGGGATGGGTATTTGTTTCCTTGCAGTCCACTGCGGGTTTAAGGCTAGGAAGTACAAAACTCTTCTAGGGGTGTTTGGCCCCGATGGATACGCGTCCGACATTGCTAGAACTCTGCATGGACACATGGGGACACTTCTAAAATAAAATGGTGTAATTTTTCAATGGCTAATTCTGTAACTGCCGTCTTGTCTGTTTTGTTTAATTGTTTCTTGTTTGAGCTTTGGTTCCCCCTCATTAACTCTTAACATTTTTAAAAAGAAAAAAAAAAAAAAAATTGACCTTTATAAGCAAAAATTCAAAATAATATAAAGTTTAAAAACAAAAATGACATCCATTTACATTCAAATAAAATCAGTAAAACACATTTTTATGTAAATGGATGTCATTTTTGTTTTTAAACTTTATATTATTTTGAATTTTTGCTTATAAAGGTCAATTATATATATATATATATATATATATATATAGAGTATTTTGATTTGTCCGTGTCCTATTATCAATATTTCAAAAAAATTCATATCATTGTGTCTATATTCAATTTTTTTTAGGTTTAGACATAATGACTTGAAAATCAGACTTTTAGAATAATATTAACTTATTCACGATTTAAGTACAGGAACATATATAGTAATTGGATCATTACTCATTAGTACAGGTCTTACAATCACGCTATATCTCTAAAGAATTTGTCCACACCTAATGTACACCTATATTATCTCTAAAATAGGAAAGAATCACAAGAATAATATTTATAAGAATTGTTGACCATTAACCTAATATCACACTTTCGCTCAAGTTAGTGCATAGATGTCACACGTGCTTAACTTGCCCAAAAACTTTGAGAACACTCGACTTGAAACCACTTGGCAACTCCAAAATTTTCTCGTCCAACTTCTCCTTAATGAAGAATCTGTCTACCTCCACATGCTTTGTACGATTATGTTGAACCGGATTATGAGCAATATCACATACTGCTTTATTGTCACAATATAGTTGAATTGGTTGCCTAGGCGGATAGCCCAAATCCTTCAAGAGAAGTCTTAGCCATAATGCTTCGCATACTCCAAGTGCCATACCTCTAAATTCAGCCTCTGTACTTGAACGTGCAACAACATTCTGTTGTTTGCTTCTCTATGTAACAAGATTACCACCTACAAAGGTGAAATATCCTGAAGTAGACCGCCTGTCATCTACTGCTCCAGTCCAGTCGGCATCAGTATATGCATCCACGCTTTAACAATCTATATTTTTAGTGAATAAAATTCCATTTCCAGGAGCAGACTTCAGGTACCATAACTACATTCAGATGTTGTCCTCTAGGATTATGCATAAACTGGCTGACAATACTCAATGCATAGGCAAGGTCCGGCCTTGTGTGTGCTAAGTGCATCAATCTTCCTACGAGTTTCTGATATCTTCCTTTATCAACCGACACCTGATTATACTCAATACATAACTTTAATCCTTTTTCCATTGGTGTATAACCTGGTTGACATGCTGACATACCAGTTTCCTGTAACAAATTTAAGGCATATTTTCTTTGAGACAGAAAGATTCCTTTATTAGAACGAGATACTTCGATCCCAAATTTTTTTTTCAAGTGATTGAGGTCTTTCATTTCGAATTCTCTTGACAAGTAACTCTGTAGAGCTTTCCTTTCTTCAGGATCATTTCCTGTAACCACTATGTCATCCACATACACAATAAGTGTAGTGATCTTACCCTGTTATTTCTTCAAGAATAAAATGTGGTCTGAATTGTTCTGATGGTAGCCAAAGGTTCTCATAGACTTTGTGAACCTTCCGAACCATGCTCTTGGAGATTGTTTCAACCCATATAGTGACTTTTTTAATCTGCACACGAAGACTATGAACTTTTGATATCATGCATCCTGGTGGGAGATCCATGTAAACTTCTTCAGACAATTCGCTATGTAGAAAGGTGTTCTTCACATTAAACTGTTGTAATGGCCAATCTAGGTTTGCTGCTAGAGACAACAAGACTCAAACTGTGTTGATTTTAGCTATAGGTGCAAATGTCTCTGTATAATCAATCCCATAGGTTTGGGTGTGCCCTTTTGTCACCAATCTCACTTTAAACCGTTTGAATTGTACCATCTGCTTTGTACTTTACAGTATAAACCCATCGACATCCAATTGATTTCTTTCCTGGTGGCCGATTAACAAGTTCCCAAGTTTTATTTTTCTGCAAGGATTTCATCTCCTCATTCATAGCAGCTCTCCACCTTGGGTCGGTTAAGGCTTCCTGCACACTGTTAGGAATAGATACAGTGGATAATTGATTTACAAATGACTGATTTGATTATGATAAATGATGGTTAGACACATAATGACTCATAGGATATTTAACTTTACTAGAAAGTTCAAGTTCATATGTGGGTTTAGGGATACCTCTGGTGTGACGCGGTGGTAGTTGTTTTCTAGATGGTCTAGACACTAAATTAGGAACATCTTCAGTAAGCGATTGATTTGGCGTATCAGTTGCCTGTGATACGAGGGATTCTAATAGGGGTGGAGCCACAAGTTCAGTTTCTGGGTGTTCATCACCACCTTGGTCCTAAGTTATACCACTCAAATCTAATTCACCCACCTCTTAATTTACCGGTCCAGTTTGTGAGTGATCATTACCACTCGTATCCAAGTTACTCGTATCCTGGTTATAAGGTTCAGAGAGTTCCCTTTCTTCAGAGATATGAACATTATAGCCTAGAGTCTGAACTTCCTCCTGGTACTTCCCCTAAAGTTCAGGTTCAGAGGAAAAATACATCGAGTTTTCATAAAAAACTACATCCAATGCAACAAACATTCATTGGGTTGGGGGATGATAGCATTGGTACCTATTTTGATAAGCAGCGTGCCCTAGAAAGACACATCGCAACACTCAAGGAGTCAATTTTGTTGTGCTGATGCTTATGGAGGTGTACGAATGCTACACAACCAAAGACATGAGGAGGTAAGTTTGGGATAGCTGGGGCAACAACCACTTCAGTGAGAGGTAAGTGCTTCTCCCCAATAGGATAAAAACATATGGGTTTCTATCAATGAATTAGCACGGACAACCTCCAACAAGTGACAATTTTTTTTGCTCGGCCACCCCATTCTGCTGGGGTATATTGGAACAAGTAGTTTGATGAATTATTCTGTGTGCTTCCAAATACTGCTGAAATTCAAAACTCAAGTATTTGCCTCCATTGTCACTGCGGAGAACCTGAACATGTGCATTGTATTGACTACGAACCATTTTATGAAACTTTTGAAATAACAAGTTTATTTCACTTTTGGACTTCATCAAGCATACCCAAGTCATCCTGGTATAGTTATTAATAAAAGTAACAAACCAACGTGATCCACCCACGGTAGTAACTTTGGATGGACTCCAAACATCATAATGTATGATCATAAAAGGAACTGGACTTTTATTCAAAACCAATGGAAACGAAACACGATGGCTCTTTGTAAGTTCACAAACATAACATTAGAAACTAGAAACATCAAATTTTGCAAATAAACAAGTAGCTTGATGAAGAGGTGTAAGAAGACCACCTCAATAAAAATGGATCTAAAGATCCGAGAAGAGAACCAAGAATGGCTTTGACGAAAAAAAGATGAAAAAAAGAGAAATGAACAAAGAATGTTGCCTGCTCTGATACCATCTTGAAAATCAGACTTTTAGAATAATATTTTCTTATTCATGATTCAATAATTTGTACAGGTACATATATAGTAATCGGATCATTAGTATAGGTCCGACAATCACACTATATCTCTATAGAATCTGCCGACACCTAATGTACAACTATATTATTTATAAAATAGGAAAGAATCACAAGAATAATATTTATAAGAATAGTTAACCATTAACCCAATATCTCAACATAATGATCATAAGAATTTGTGACCAACCAATTAGCAATCATACCAGTCATGGTATTTATATGTACAAATTTCTTTAAAAATAAATTTCTGGTTATTATTATTATTTTTAAAAATAACCACAGTACATATGTTTTTCAAAATAACAAAAATCATAGGATCTATTTTTTATGACAAGAGAATACATGTGAAAAAAAAAATGGTTTAAAATTTAATGTGGTTAATAATTTTACCATTTTTTAAAATTTTTTTAAACTTAAAACAATATTTTATAATTCATTAAAATGTATTTTCATAAAATTAAACCAAGCAAATCATATTTCTGAATTATTTTTTATTTTTTTAAAAATAAAATAAAAATAAAAACTGTTAAATAATGAGTAGCATTTCGAGATTTTAAAAGAGTACACATTTTTTTATGTGAGTTTGCTTATCCATTGTTGGATTAAGAAGCATCTCAAGTTTTGTATGGGAAAAGATAAAGTCAAAAGAATCTTCTCTCATTCACGTAATCAAGAAAGCGAAATTAAGACCTCTTTATATAGCTATTTCTATTTTTAAAAGAAAAATGATAAGTTCACCGAATTGATATTTTCGAATTAGTCCCGAATATGACGTATTGTTGTTCACATCATCTACTTAAACAGTTTTCATAAAATAATACTTAAACAGTTTCCATAAAATAATTATTTAACATGTGATAAGTATATTAGGTGTTAATTCGGGAATTCATTTTCGATTTCCCTATCATTACTCATTTTAAAAATATAGACATGCTATGTTTAAATTTAGACGAAAGCCCCTAAGCCGAG